TAAAGCAACCGTGTGTAAGAAAGAAACGGAGACTGAGTTGAGATTGGTGACCTGGTCAAATAGAACAGGTTAGTGCCCAGAGTTTCATTGTTCCTTATGCAAGTCATGGTAAGAGGACAGAGTATTTGAACTAATATTTCACCTAGACCAGCAATGGTGAACCTTTAAGGGCTTTCAATGATAGCAAATGGCTGGCTGTAGCATACATGCCATAGGCTTGCCACCACTGAGCTAGACCTCGTTTCCTTTTTCTGTGAGACAGCCAGGCAGACACAGATAGGCCACCAAAGGAAGCCTGCAGAGAGAAGTGATTTGTGTATGACATACCAAGGACTGATTGCAGCCACCAGAGGTGAGACCAAAACCCAGAAAGTGACAGCCTAGATACCAGAGACAAAGTTTTCATCAAAGCAGGACCGAGGGTGTGAAATCCACGGACAAGGCAAGTAAGCTGCAAAGTGTGCACTGCTGAGAATGGAGGGCTTGCGTGGCCTTAGCCACTTCAGCAGAGGGTTGGGGAACAGTTGGTAGAGTGGGGGAAGGGAGACAGTAAAGAGGGGTGGCTTCGTCCTCAGCCGGGAGGGCCTGTGGCCTTTGTGCAAGTTTCATGACAAGCCCTGAAGAGGAGAAAGATGTAGAGAAGGGCAGTTATTTGTGCTAGGCAGAGCTGCCTGGACATGCTCCTGGTCCCCTGCTCCAGCCTCTCCAGCTTTCCCCCAGGCCAGTTCACCTAGCTAAGACCAGGGAGTGGTTTTCATTTTTCTCTGAAAATTACTTTTTGGCCTTTAAAATAAGATGTTTGAAAGAATCAGTCTGTGTATTTTCCCCCACGTGAATTTGAATATGCAACTTGTGCTGGTTTTTCTCCTTTCTATTTGTCTTTTTCATTTCTCTTGAGAGTACTGCACATGTGTTCTTTTTCTGTATTTGAGTTGTGTATGTCCCTGGAACTGAGAAGAGAGAGACAGACAAAAAGAGAAATTACTGAGATCAGTTCAAGGCAGGCGTGGTGGCACACTCTGGGAGGCTCTTGCAGAAGTGTGTCAAGTTTAAAAGCAGCCTGGGCAGTTCAGTGAGACCCTGTGTGTGTAGCTCAGTGCAGGGACCCTGGGTTCAATCCCTAGTACCTCTCTGCAGTCTTACAGTCTGAGTATAGAAGTACATTTATGTCAGTCTGCTCATGTGAAGAAAGTGAGTCATACTTTTTGCTATGTCAGAGATCATATTGTATATGTCCATTAATGTAAAAATCTAAATCCTAAAAATATTGATAAAATTGATGCACTAAAACATAAAATTACATATTTCAAAAACATCTTTGACGTAGGGCTATAGTCAATAGTAGAGTTCATGCTTAACATATTTAAGGCTAAGCACAAAAACTAAATCAACAAAAACTCTTATCAAAATCAAAACAAAACCATACATGGTGTCACGTGCCAGTAATCCCAGCACTAAGGGAGACTAAGAGGTAGGAACATTAGATATTTGTGTCCCTCCTGGGCAGTTTAGCAACTTAGTGAGACCTTGTCTCAAAACAAACAAACAAATAATAGTTTGAAAGTACAGCAGATACGAACACTCTGGATTGAGTCCCCAGAAAAAAAAAAAAGAAAGAAAAATATTGGCAATATATGTGAAATAGAATGAATTTTCTGTATATACATCACTTTTATAGATCAGTATGGAAAAAATGAGAAAAATGGGCAGAATTCATGAGATATTAAATAAAATAGAAATAATATAAAATGCACTTCATTGTCATTAAATTTATAGAAACTAAAACAGTGATATTAGCAAAGATTCTTTTACTACAAGTAGTAAAGCACAGTGTGGTAGTGCTTTACTTCTCAGGGAGGCTGAGGCAGGAAGATTGCATGTTCTTAGCAATTTACTGAGACCCTGTTTCAAAATGAATGAATGGATGTGCTGGGAATGTCGATCATTGTGAATGCCCTGAGTTTGATCCCAGTACCAATAAAAAATAAAGCAGTAATACTCAATATTGGTAGAATATGGGGAGACTCGTGAGAGTGGGGGGTATAAAGAGCTCTTCTGTTTCGTGCATCCACCATGTTTAAATATTTCACAAAAGGTGTTTTTGATTATAAATTTCCAGTACAAAACACCCCGTCAGTGCCAGCTGTTCTCAGCAGTATCAGCAGCAAACAAAATTATTAACTTGTACTTAACACCATTGTGGATCAAAACATCTAAAGATGTGGGGCAAGACATGCTCCAGCTGCACCTCCTCAATTAATGGGCCTTTCGGTAGAGAAAGGCAGGTTAGTATGATGGGAAGGAGTCTGGCAGTTGACAGAAACCACCCGTGAATACAAGCTTCAAAGTGACATCCCGTGAAGACCAGGTTAGAGTGGTATCTCTGTAATCTCAGTTTCACGCCAACCTGGCACCATCTCTGTCTTCCATCATGAACACTATGCTTTCTCTGTGTCCCTGTCACCTTCCCTGTTTGCCAAGAGTCCCCAGTGGAAACCTCTTACAGAATTGTAATGCTGGCTGACTTGGTGGTGTACACCTGTAATCCCAGCCCTGAGGCTGAAGCAGGAGGATCACAAGTTCAGGCCAGCCTCATCTGCATAGAGACTGTAAGACTATAGTACCACTGCGAGGGCACTGACATTGACACAGTCTCGCTGGGAAACCTTCCTGTGAGCACATTCACCTCCGAAAATCTGTTCTTCACTGTTTCCAAAACTACTATGTCCAAAGGGCCCCAGTATGGAGCCTGTAGGAATGAGTTTCTCACTGAGCACAGCTCACTAAAGTTGCTGTATGAATCTGTAGTTCATTTCTTCATGTGGCGAGTAGCTTTCCATGTAGGAGCGCTACAGTGTATTCCAGCTGTTCAACCAGGGAGAACGCTGGGTCCTTTCTAGTTTGCGACTGTTGGGAATAAAGCTGCTCTGGACATTAGTCTGACAGGGTTTTCTGTGGCATAAACTTTCATTTTTCTGGAATAAACGTCCGGGGTGCAGCTGGAGGGTTATGTGGTAATTGTATTTTGTTTTTAAAGAAACGGCAGTTTTCCAGAATGTGCGTGCCGTTTCACGTTCCCATGAGCGGTAAATGAGTGATGTCACACTTCTCCACCTTCTCCTCAGCACTGGGCACTGTGTGGTGTTTCCATCAGAGCGATCCTGATAGGTGTGGAGTAAGAGTGTGTTTTTACTTTGCCTTTTCCCTGGTGGGAACATTTTTGTGCTGTGATGCTGAACATTTTTGTGCGTTGATTTGCCATCTGTATATATTCTCCGGTAAAATGTCTGTTGTACGTGTTCTAATTTGATGGATTTTTACTCTTGAGCTTTGAGGTTTCTTTATATGTTGCAGATACTGGCCCTTGGTTGGAAAAGTGCTTTGCAAAGGTTTTACTGTACTTTCTCCTAGTCTTCATGTTTTCATCCACTCTGGTTTTCATCCAGAATCTTTCACAGAGCAAAATTTTTGTTTTTGACGAAGTCCAGTGTATCATTTTCTCATTTTGTGCGGTCTGCTTTTGATTTTAAGTGAAGAAATTCCTTGTCTAGACTTAGAGCCTGATGATTTTTTCCAAAAGTTTTTTAGCTTTTTAGGTTTTTGTTTTGGTTTTGAGACAGAGTCTTGTTTTGTAGCCCAGGCTGACCTCAAGCTAGTATCATCTTCCTGCCCTAGCTTCCTAAGCCCTGGAATTACAGACACGGCCCCCACTTCCAGTCAAATGCTTTATGTTTTGTGTTTTCTGCTCAAGACCATGGTACATTTTGAGTTTATTTGCATATAAGGTATGAGATTTAAGATCTTTTATTTCTCCCCTTCTCTCCCTCCATCTTTTCCCTGCCCGTGAAGTCCATTTGATCCAGCACCATCTGTCAAGAAAGTTACGCTTCTTCCACTGAATTGCTTTTGGGATTGATTAAGCGTGTGTGTTTATGTCAGTCTGCCTCTGGGTTCTCTATTTTGCATTGGTTTGCATACCTGTCCCTCTACCAATACCACAGTTTTGAATTCTATGCCAATAGAATACATCTCAAAATTGGATGGGCCTTTTTTCCCACTTCAATGTTTTTTTCTAAGAATCATTTTAACTATCCTAATTCCATTGCTTTTACATATACATTTTAGAATAATTTTGTCTATGTATATAAAGTCTTACTGGAATTTTGGTAGGAATTATGTCAAATCTATATGTCAAATTGGAGAAGATTGTTTTAGTATCCATAATAAATGCCTGTTCCTTTATTTAGAATTTCATAAGTGCTGTTAGTGAAAAAGGAACATTTTAGGGATGTAAGGAGCCAGGCAGTGTCAGGCAGCTTTCCTACTGTAAATAGGTTCAGGCTGGGAGTGGTTTGCTGATGTTTGAGTAAAGGAAATCACAGGATTTGGAATTAGAACATTCAGATTTCAATTTTGTCTCCACCACCTTCCAAGTAGAAGGAGGCAAGTCACTTACTCTCTCCAGGCCATTCCTCTGACACAAAAGGGAGGCAGAGACCACAGTCTGCACCTTCACTGGATTGCTGTTAGGAGGAGGAAGAGAAGAGGCGTAGGTGCCATTGCATCCCTAGAGGAAATGACTCCCAGTGTAGTTAAGATTTTCACCCTGCCTTGCTGTGACTCTGCCTGGTATTGTAATTGATCTGTCTTTATGGAAAATTGGACAGGTTCTGATGGGTCATTAGAATTTGCACTGGGAATCTTTAAAAAACTGATCCAGGACTGTTTGCTGTGTAGAGCACCAATGCTTAAAGGTGGAGAGCCTGGGTTCACTTCCTGGCTTCTCCATGCACATTCTGGGCACGTCACAGAGTCCAATGCCATATGTGGTATCGACTCCGATCAGAAGACTGAATGAGTTAATTTGTGTACTGTGTTAAACAGTGCCTCGCACATGAGCTGTTGCCACATTAGCTATGATTGTTACTATTGGGGACTGTAAAGGACACATTCTTATTTATGAACCAACTTTCTTAAAAATAAAATTGTTTACTTTGCAGATTTTTTAAAAAATGGATTTGACCAACCATGGACTTATTCTACTGCAGCAGTTAAATGCACAGCGCGAGTTTGGGTTCCTGTGTGACTGCACGGTTGCCATCGGCGATGTGTACTTCAAGGCACACAAATCTGTTCTTGCCTCATTCTCCAATTACTTTAAGATGTTGTTTGTCCATCAGACCAGGTAACTAACATGGTTGGTGATAATGACCGCGGGGCCCCTCTTCCCTTCATCCAGGTGGGGGATCTCTGCCTCGCCCTAGGCTCCTGGGTGACAGTTCCCTTGTGACCCGCCCACCCCTCCCCTGTTGGTCACTGGCTTCCACGGCACCTGCCACTCTACCAGCCCTGCCCAATGCGCGCAGCCCACTGAGTGTCACCAGCCTGTGTGAGACAAAGCCAGCCCCAGGTCCCAGGCTCCTTCTGCTGAAGCCTTTCTCTAGCTCTTCCACCCTGTTCCCCGGAGTGTCCCCGGCCTTTCATTGTCTTCTACACTGATCAGAAGCTTGAGGATGTGAGTTCCTCTTTTCTTTCTTAAAGCAGCTCCATATCTTTGTTCTGCTTTCTTTCTTTCCCCCTCTCCTAGGTATCTTAAAGAACCTCTCAGTATCCAAGGAAAACGGTCTTCCTGTTTCCTTTGTTGCTCTCAATTTTTATTCTGCACTCTGTACTTTTCATCCCTTCCCTTACCCCACTGCTGCCCCTGCTCCACCAGTCGGAGGGGAAGGGCACCTCCCTTGACCCTGACATTGCCTGACATTGCCAGCTCCGGGAGTTCAGGAACTGTTTTCTGGTTTACTGTCCAGGTTCCTAAAAGGGCCGCCTGTGCCCTGGGTGCACCTTCCTCCTTCCGCACGCTTGTGTGCCTTTGCACTGTGGCTTCCTCCCCAGCACTCCACTGGAGTCCAGTGTCACAGGCCACCCTTCCCCAGAGCCACAGCCTCTCCCTCGGCCTCCTTGTGTCTCAGCAGTATTTGCTGCTGTGTTTTCTCCAAAGAGGTTGTCACCTGCATTTGCAGAACGTCTGCCCTATGACTGGGCCACCTGAGCTTTCATTGTAGGTCCTCTGCGCTCTGCTGTCCTTTCCCTGGGTCTTGTCTTTACAGCTGGAACCTTGCCCACCCACTCTTTCTGTCTTCAGAGTCCCAGGCTGCCTGCTGTTCATTTATAGCTGAATATATTCCTCTTTCCCCATTGGGCGTGGCTAAAACTGAATTAAGCCTCTTCCCTGAAAGCACCCCACTCCTGCCTGTTTTCTTTGCACCAAGTAACCCACACTTAAAATCTGTTTCACATATTTTATTAATCCCCAGATTACATTTACTTCAAAATACTGTTCACATTTCCTTATTTTTTCCCTTGCTCATTTCCATATTCTTTCTTTCTTTCTTTCTTTCTTTCTTTCTTTCTTTCTTTCTTTCTTTTTCTTTTGTAAGTGAATCAAACCCAGGACCTCACACTTGCCAGGCAGGCACTGCGTGGCTGAGCTACACCCTGGCCCTCAATTTTCTAATCATTTGTGTTCCACTGCCCTGCAAGAATATGTTAAATACTGCTTTGTGGTATGCATTTGATGAAACTTACTAGGTCATATGATTCCTTTGATCAGGATATCCCTTATCAAAGTCCTGTGTTTAGGCTCCCCATTCATGGCCCCTCGGGGACACTGCACTCATCTTCACCCTGACCTGACCTGCTTTCATAGCACACTCACCTCAGTGTTTTGCAGTATGCTGCCTGCTCCCCAAGTTCCCACATACACCCCTTCCATGCCCCTCCTTAGACAAGTGGACAAAAATTCAAAAGTGACCTCTTCTCTCTTGTGGATCAGAGTATCTCATTTACAACTTTCTTGAAGGCAGAGGCTGGGATTTACAGTCTTAGTGGACACCACAGAGTAGCTGGGATATCCATGGGTTACAGGATAGCCACGCAAAAAACATCCCATAACAGGATTGCAGGCTTACTGGTGAGTGCAGGCTGTTCATCCTCCTGTAAAAGGCACTCTCTATCACCAGGGTGTATTTCAGAGATAGTGCACCCTAGTGTGCATGAGGCCCTGGGTTCCATGCCCAGTAATCCCCTCCTCCTCCCCCCAAAAAAGGAAAAACCGCTCTTTAACTTCATTATGTTAAAGACTTTGTGGCTGATGAAGGCTTTGTACTTAATGATCTCACTAAAGTGAACTAATTAAACGGTCCCAAAAAATATTTTACTTTTGAGAAATAAAAGGAGACAGTGTAATTGGTTTTAATTAGATGCAAGAAGCTTATTTAATTACAGGGCAGTGAATAAATGCCCATCAAGGGAATGCAAACTTTGTGTCAGGGAAGTCCTGAGTTTACGCAGTGGTGTGAATGTGCACCAGGGTGACACGTGCATTTGGGTAGCCTCCTGGTGGCCAGCCTCATGCAGGTTCCAAGCTCACTGAGGCAAGCACAGGGCAAGACCAGAGGCACTTTTAATCAGCACCCCCTACAAGAGGCTCAGTGACCATCACAGGCCACACAGAGACTGAGCACACGCCAGAATCTTCCAGTTTGCCTTAGAGCAGTCATGTCCTTAACCTACCACTAGAGGTCTCTGTTGTGTCTGCAAGCTTTGTGCTCTCACAAATAAATATAACTTCTGAAGGGCAGGCCTTGCTCAGTCCAACCTTCTAGTCCTGTTCAGTGTTGCCTAAAAGTCCTAGAAGGAAAAACTAGATATGGGAATTACCGTGGAGGTTTATACAGAAAGGCTTATAGTTATACTACAACTTTGTTCCTGCGTACAAGTGTGTTATAAGCATCTGCAGATCAGACCTCAGGTGGGACTGTACTGTAGGAGGACTGGGAGGGGACCAGAGTCTGGCCCACAGTGGGCTAGTGGTTAAGAGAGTGCAGGCAGATTGCCTGGGCTGAAAAGCACTCAAGAATAGGGAACTTTGTTACATTCCAGCCTAAACTCCATCTGTTTTTCTAAGTATGCGTCTGTATGGGTGTAGGCCCATGTGAATCTGCTTTTTTAAAAAAAAAATTAAGCCAAAATAAAGTGGTGTGTGCAGACATCCCTGACCCAGGAGTCTTCCTCCAGTCCTGGCTGCAGTGTGGATGTGGGCTCCTCAGCGCCTTCCTGTCTTTGCCATCAGGCACTCCACGTAGTTACTTAACATTTGAGAGGTTTGCCGTTAAATGCTATTCACAAGAAGTAGACAGGACAATCAGGCTAACCTCAAGAGAGAGAAATTACAAAACTCACATCAAGGTTTTCTGGAAAAGGACTCTACTGGCCAAACCTTCCAGGGATGCTAAAGAAACAAAGCTAACTTTACATTTCTACCCTTCTTTTGGGGAGAGAAGAGGTGGCTGTGAAGCGTTGTAACTATTATTCCTTCCTTCTTGCCTGAGAACCAGAGAACTGAGGACCAAGCCCATCCCTAGACTGGGGATAATTTAGATCTCTGCAGACCTAGGTTTCCCTGTTGCCTAAGCCTCAGCCTGATCCTGGAAGGGTCCTCCAGTCTCTTCTTTACCTGGGGTGATTGTTTACATTAAAGGAAAGACCAACTGTATTTGCATTTTTGCTTCCAAAAATGTAAGTAATCTAAAGAAATATAAAAGACTCAAGGAAAGAAGTGTATGATTGTGTCTCTTTTTGAAAAGAAAAGAAAAATAGTTACATTTATTCCTCCTCTGAAATCTCAGGGAATGTTAGTTTTTGTGTTTTATTTTTATTGTCTTCCATATTTTGTATTCAAACTTTTGTCACAGGATAATTTGTGTGCAGTCTTGTTTAAAATATACACATTGACAGCTATCCAGCTCAAATCTATCCTGTCACAAGTCTCTGTTAAAGTTACTTTGTTCTTTTTTTTAATAGAATAAAATGTTAAGCTTAGAACAAGGCATACTATTTATACTTTAGCATGTTGAAAAATATTTAATAAAATGAATATGATTGCTAAAGCAAGCCAAAAAACCATGAAGTTACAATATAAAACCATGAAGTTACAATCATAAGTCAAGCATGGTGGCGGAGGATAGAAAGTGTGAGGCCAGCCTGGGCAACTTGGTGAGACCCCATACATCACAATAAAAAAAGCACTGGGAATGTAGCTCAGTGATAGAGCACTTTGCCTAGTGTAAGGCCCTCTTTTTGGTCCTCCAGAATTTCAAGGAAGCTATCTGAAAAATGTGTGTCTGTAGAATAAACTCAGTCTAATCTCCTGCATGCTCTGTAGCTACCCATCTCGTTTATTTCTAGGGGTGCATTAGAATTTCTGTCTTTACTGTGATGGTCTGAGGACATCCCCATCCTAGGGACCTCTTCATTATTCTCTGCTTGCTTGGGATGCTGGCCTCTGAAGTAATGCAAGGAGAGTGAAATTTAGAAAATGAGCTGTACCACCAGCTGCCACAGATAATCACTTAGCTTTGGGACCTTGGGCTCCCTGTCAGTCACGTGGGAACAGTGAACCCACTCTAGCTATTTTACTGCTCTGAAGGGTCTTGGTGTGATGATTCTGGAACTAGACAAACCTAGATTCAAGTCCCAGTTCCATGACCTTCCAACTCTGTGGTAGCAAGCAAGGCATTGAGTCCTCCAAGTCCGCCTCCACCCACACACAAGGACAATGGGCCTTCCGTGAGTGCACCAACACCACTGACGGCATCATTGGACAGGACCGTCTTTTCCAGATGGCTTTTTACCCCACCCAGCTGTACATGCGAAGTGCTGGCCACCTCTGCTGTCCTCATCTCTTGCACACTTCAGTCTTTGTGCTGGAGGGAGCCACTCCCAGAAGTCTGAGGACAGTTTTTGTGTCTTGTCCTTAGGCCCTTGTTCATGCTAGGCCCTCTGTTAATGTTATCTCACCAATAAAACCCCTTCGTAATCAGACAGGTTGTTGACTGACCTCAGAGATCTCCAGCTGGGCTATGGATGGGGTCAGTCATAATCATATACTTCTAGGGCAAAGCTCTGCCAGGCCAGTGGTCCCAGCACTCCAGCATGGGAAACATTCTTGTTCATTTGCTTTCCAGGGTCTGTTTTCTTCTTCAGGGTCTAATTAGCATTTGACACAAGATTGGCGTGCACTCACAGATTTTTCCATCCTCTCTTTCAGCGAGTGTGTCCGACTGAAGCCCACCGACATCCAGCCAGACATCTTCAGCTATCTCCTGCATCTCATGTACACTGGAAAGATGGCGCCACAGCTCATCGACCCTGTCCGCCTGGAGCAGGGCATCAAGTTCCTGCACGCATACCCACTGATCCAAGAGGCCAGCCTCGCCAGCCAAGGCACCTTTTCCCATCCCGACCAAGTGTTCCCACTGGCTTCCTCCCTTTATGGCATTCAGATCGCGGACCACCAGTTGAGACAAGCCACCAAGATTACCCCTGCACCTGAAAAACTCGGGCGGGACCCAAGACCCCAGGCCTCCAGAATGGGCCCCGAGCAAGTGACAGAGGCCTCACAGCTGTCTCAGTTGCCCCCAAACCTGGCCCAGGTGAATCGGACAAACATGCCTTCCTCGGACCCCCTGCAGAGCTCACTGTCTCCAGAGCTCGTGTCTACTCCTGTTCCTGCTCCTCCTCCCGGAGAGGAGACCAACCTGGAAGCCTCTTCCTCCGATGAGCAGCCTGCGTCCCTCACCATAGCTCATGTCAAGCCGAGCATCATGAAGAGGAACGGAAGCTTCCCCAAGTACTATGCCTGCCACCTGTGCGGCCGGCGCTTCACCCTGCGGAGCAGCCTGCGCGAGCACCTGCAGATCCACACGGGCGTGCCTTTCTCGGCCGGCCCCCAGGGCGAGAGCCGCGTGCCGCTGTCCCTCTGCAGCAATGCCGCTGACCTCGGCAAGGATGCCATGGAGGTGCCCGAGGCCGGGATGATCAGTGACAGTGAGCTGCAGCACATCTCGGACTCCCCCATCATCGACGGGCAGCAGCAGTCGGAGACCCCACCACCCTCGGACATTGCCGACATCGACAACCTGGAACAGGCCGACCAGGAGAGGGAGGTGAAGAGGCGGAAGTACGAGTGCACCATCTGTGGACGCAAATTCATCCAGAAAAGCCACTGGCGGGAGCACATGTACATACACACCGGGAAGCCTTTCAAATGCAGCACTTGCGACAAGAGCTTTTGCAGGGCCAACCAGGCTGCCCGCCACGTGTGCCTCAACCAGAGCATCGACACGTACACCATGGTGGACAAGCAGACTCTGGAGCTCTGCACGTTTGAGGAAGGCAGTCAGATGGACAACATGCTGGTGCAGACAAACAAGCCCTACAAGTGCAACTTGTGTGACAAAACATTCTCCACTCCCAACGAGGTTGTGAAACACTCATGCCAAAACCAGAACACGGATGTTTTCGCCCTCGATGAGGGGCGGTCAATTCTCCTGGGCAGTGGAGATGCTGAAGTGACGGAACCTGACCACCCAGTATTAGCCTCCATCAAAAAGGAACAGGAAACTGTGTTATTAGACTGAATGTTATTTGTCTTTTTTAAAAACTGTCATTTTTACAAAAACTATCTTCCTTCTCTTCCTTCCCTCCATTCAGAACCGTAGTTCTCCATGGCATGATACAAACAGGTCCCTGTCCTCTCTCCACCTCCCCCACCCCACCCACCCCCACCTCTGTAAAGGCTTTGTGCATTATAAACCTGGGATCTATTTACTTTCATTCAGGGGGTATTGGAAAGATAATGGTCAGTAGAACTCATATACTTAAATAGATTTTGAGAGGTTTTAGATTATTTAAAAGCATACTTGGAACAATTAAGGGTATATACGAAACAGAACAACTAGGATATAATTTGGTAAGCTAAAATTATGACTTTCCCTGGGTAATAAGTCTTCCTTCTGAGAAAGAAAAAAAAAAAACAAAACAGTATCAGAAAGAGCAACATGTGTCTAAGAGGTAATTCTGGGCTCTGTACTATGCAAAATCTAGAAGGTGTGGGGAAACTTTAAACCCAAGAAAATGTTTTCAGATTTTATCTTCCAGATGTCTTATTTCAGAATGCATCCTTTGAGATTATGTCCAGTTAAGAAAAATCACTAGTTAAGAAATCTTTAACAAAACACAAAAGAGAAAAAGTAATAATGTGATGGCAATCTTAATTTTTGGATAAAACCTGACAAGCTGTGAGTTTATATGTTTGTAAAACGTGGATATTTCGTATAAACAGGTGGATTAATGCACATGCCTTATCTAGTTGCTGGCTTCTTTCCAAGTTGAATAACAGCAAAATGACAAATGTTTTTGTTTTTAAAATCAGATTCAAAAGAGACAGTCTATAGCGTGTCTTTCGAATAGAAAATGACGCGTCATTTGCCAGTGGTAAACTTGTTTCAGTACCAACCTGCTGCTTTTAAATCAGTGTACATACATACTGGAGAGGAAACAATGCAGGAATATGCATCTTACGTGGAAAGTTGAAAGAAGATGTAACTTTAATGACTTTAGAAGTCAGTATGAACAGTTTACTGGCAACATTCATTAAAGCATCAAAAATGGCAAAGAGAAATCAGGACAAAAAATCTAATTGCTGGAGCTGGGGATGGAACTCAATGGTAGAGCTTTTCTGTAGCGTGCACAAGGCCCTGGGTTCAATCCCCACCCCACCTCAAAAAAATTAAAAACAAAAAAACTAATTACTATTTGGGGAAAAAACTATTCTCCAGTTTTTTCTTTTCTTTTTTTTTTTTTTTTTTCTTTTTTTAACATCTGAAATTTTCTCCAGTGGACTGAAAAGGTCAAAGTTGTCCATTAATATTCCCTTAGGCCAGTAAGAGACCAGCCTACAGAATAAAATAAGAGCCAGGAGTAAGGACCGAAGGGGAAAGGGCGGGGGAGAGTAGTTAATAGCTATACTGTATGTATGTGTTAAGAACCAAACACCCTATCTCCTATTATATGTATAGTTGAGTTCTCAGATTTGTAAGTTTTTATACATACTTTCATTGAATAAACAATTAAATGGACATAAGATCTCACCTGTCTTAATCTGCCCAAAGAGATGCAGAAAGGAAGTGTTGAAGCATTACACCAGAAATCACTGTCTTACTGGAAATTCCCTACCCAGAATGGCATTTTCCACACGTGTACACTAAAGAAATCGATAGGTGATTTTGGCTGTGAAATTCTGAGAATCGAATGAGTGAACTCTAAAGAAGCTAGGAATAGTCAAAGGTTGGCCTGAAATGGGTCCCAGAGATCTTCTCAACCAAAAGGGGTGATCAGGAGGTGCCTCCCTCAAGGTTGCACACATCTAGATTATTAACTATTGAATAGTTCCCATTAATTTCACCTTTTCAAAAAGCGTATTCCCATCTCCCAACCTAAAAGAGAGCTTTGTGCTACATTAAGTATATGAAAGGTAAATAAGTCAGGGAGAGCCTCTGAGGAACACAAGATGAAGCCAGAAACAGTCTTGGAGACCAGAAAGTCACAGGAAGCCCAAGGACAGGGACAGCTCACTCATCTCCCACAGGGAAGAGGAGCTGGACACAAACGTGAGCCCCACCCTAGTCCTCAATGCTCATTGCCTACTCCAAACCCTGGAGGTGATCAGAGTGTTTGACGGTCTCCTTTAGAAATCCCAGTGGTGTCCCAGCCAGCTGTTCATTATCAAGAAAGTTTCCCCATCACTGGAAGCCATCTGAACATGTAACCTCAGGATCCATTTGAGCTGTCATTGTAGTTCTAGCCCTTATTAACACTATTAGTTCTTCCCAAGAGGAACAATAGAAGGTGACTGATTGAAACTGGGTGTGGCTGCACGCTGTAAATCCAGCACTCAAGAGGCAGGAGGATTGCTGTGAGTTTCAAGGCCAACCTAAACTACATAGGGAGACTGTCTCAAAAAAAAAAAAAAAAAGTCATTTATTTAAAACATTGCAAAAAAAAAAAAAAAAAAGCCCTGTGAAAAGTGTGTAGGGTTTCATCATAGTAAATGTGCTTTAATGCAGAGAGCATTGCAGTTAAAGTTAGCCGTGGATGTGCGAGCAGGGAGAATAGTGACACCTGACCTTCACGTAGTCTTAAGTCGTTGCTTTGGGAATTTTCACCTCAAGAGAAAGGCAAAGAGCTGAGGTATCCAAAATGAACACTTCACACACTGCTGCATTTCAGTAGAGGTGAACCGTGGGAAGGATGCTGCGCAGGTGGCACCTTCTATGGCCCAGCTAGGGTTTGGGATGGACAGGGGAGGCTTTTGCACTGTCCACTAGCCATGAACTCAGACAACATTTCATATGAGGTGTGTGGCTGATTGCAATGGAACTGAACTTAAGGTGACATCTGCTTTTGAATGACAAGTTTCAGGTTCTTCCTAGTATTTAAGTTGCATTTGGCTTGGTTTTAGTCATTCTGGTTGAGGACAAGTGATTGCTAATCGTCATTTGCAGAGAAGCTGTATTAGGCTTACACAATAGGCAGGGACAGTAAAAAGTCAGTATCTTGATCTTGATAGAGGGCAAATAATGTCTCTTCTTAAAGAAAGGCTCCTTAAACAGAACTGCAAGGATTATTAACTGTTAGCAGCTCTCCAAGAAAAAAAAAATAGAATATTTACTGTGAAAAAATAGGCCAGGATGAAATGATATTCTCTGGTTTCATTTCTCTTTAGGTAGATCACAGTATTTTTGAGCATGAAGAATTTATTCATGAATCAAGCTGGAAAATGGCTAATAAATAAGGGTCCTGCTAAAATTTCCTGGCTATAAAGATGACACTTTTTAAAGAACCATTGTCAACTGGAAGTCTGAATGAACAGAGCCTGGTGGGTGGATTGGGTGTCTGCCTACCTGATACTTGCGTTTACAACTCTTAATTCTGTCAGATACCGTCTCCCATTTCTTAGATGGAAAAACTGAGGCCCAGAAGTATTAAGTAACTTTTTGGTTTTTTGTTTGTTTGTTTTTTGGGACAAAGTTTCATTAAGTAGTCCAGGCTGGCTTTGAACTCGAAGTGATCCTCTTGCCTCAGCTTCCCACATGCTGGAACTGTAGGCGTGCCCCACCATGCCCAGCTGCTAAGTAACTTTCCTGAGATTAAGCTACCAAATAGAGACAGCCAGGATTCAAATCCCATGTGACTTTCTCATTAAAAAAAAAAACACGCTTTTTCTGCTTAACACCCAATGTATCAAGTTTGACCAACACTAAGTATATGCTTTTTTTGGACTGGGGATTGAACTCGGGCCCTTTGTATGCTAGCCAAGTATTCTGCTGCTCAACCACATCTCCAGCCCTTTCTATTCTGACACAGAATCTAACCAAGTTTTCTGGTCTGACCTCCAACTTGGGATCCCGCTGCCTCAGCCTCCTGAGTAGCTCAAATTTTAGCCATGTGTCACCATACCCAGCATGACAAACCTATGTGTCATTCTTAAGAAAAAAGAAAGCACGTATCAAGGTGTAAAAACCATCTGAGCTACTTTTGTGTATGTGTTTGGCTTTAGACCTAAATTTGTTCAAATTACAAAGGAAAAATGATCTCAAATATGCAAGCATTTCTATGAGGCAGGGGATGGGGAAACATTGTCACATGTTATCCTCTCCCAGATTTGGCTAATGAGGCATTGACTGAAAGCCTTTTTTTTCTTTTAACCGATACCAGGGATCGAACTCAATGACCACACCACACGCTTGCAAGGCAGGCGCTTATGCTGCTGAGCTAAATCCCCAGCCCCCATACCTTGGTGGTCTTCGAACTTATGTGCCAGAGAATCTGGAGAGTTTGATCAACAAACCACCAGCCCTGATCCTGGAGGGTCTGATTCTGAGAGATGGGATAAGACCTGGGAAGAAAAAAAAAATTTTTTTTTTGAGACAGGGTCTCGCTGTGTAGTTAAAGCTGGCCGGGAATTCACTATATGGCCCAGGTTAGCCTTGAACTCACAGCAATCCTCCTGCCTCAGCCTCTTGAGTGCTGAGATTATAGTATGTACCACCACCCCACACAGGCCCAAGAATTTCTAAACAGGTTCCCCCATGTGCTGGTGCTAGAGGCCCTGCTTCGAGCCATGGCATTACTGTGTGATTCTACTACAATAATACCGTACTTTCTTGGTTTTACTGGTAGCTCTGAATGATAAAACCCAGAGGAGCTAATCAAGGGGCAAAGAGGGATCATGCCAATTCCTAGCATACATCTTCCTGTGTAGCAAAGTGTGCAACATGTGTGCACTGGCCTCTAGAGGCACACGGTCAAAAGGCTCTGGCACTGACGTTAAACCTCCCTACTCTCACTAAATTTCCTCGTAGTCTGTGAGCGCAGAATAAGAAGAACTCAGACTAAGAATTTGGAAAACATGAACACCTTAAATCATTTCCAGAGGCCACCTATGCCATCCTCAGCAGGGATCCAGATGAAGAAATGAAGTGGCAATAAGTAATTTATTAGCTAGGATCGTACAACTTCTCTGTCCAAATTGTAATCCCAGGACTCTGGGAGACTGAGGCAGGAGAATCACAAGTTCAAGCCCAGCCTTGGATAACACAGCAACTTAGTGAGACCCTATCTCATAATTGTAAAAAAACAAAAATAACAGCAAAAAAAAAAAAAAAAAAACCCAAGGTGCAGATGTAGCTTAGTGTAAAGGCCCTGGAGTTAGTCCCCAGTACCATCATTCAGTCATCCAACCAACCAACCAACCAATCACACAGCTGCAGAGTACAGCTCTCCCAGGAACCCTTCTGAACCACTGTGCTGCTTAGGAAATCCTAGATTTTTTATTATATTTTTTCTGTAAAGTTTTTATTCTTTTCTCCTTTCAGTTAGACAGATACCCCAAAGCAGACAAAGGTTGGAAGCAAGAACCAAGAGCCTAAATTACGAGGACTGGGGTCACTGGGAGAGACTGGCTGGGAAGAGGCCTCCTCCATCGCTGTCCCTTCCTGGCTGGGAGAAGTTAGCCAGCTGCCAATGCTAGAGGCAACCGGACAAGGAGGAAAGAAAGAAAAGCTTTTAAGGAAGAGCAAAACTATTACTCTGAACCTACCAAAATATTCAAGACAGCCATGAGGAAATGATGTACTTAGACTTTCTGAAGAGGACTTAGCCGAGAAGGGTTGACTGAATCCCACAGCCTTGTCTTTTTCAGTCACGGACCAAAATTTGAGATGTTAGGAAATGTTGCAAGGATCTGTGTAGTGCCTTGTTTTTTTCCCCTAATGTGTCTCATGAATAGTGAGGGCATCCATATGTCTGTCTCACATTCTCCTTTATAAGACCCATGTATTCCACGGCCAATTTTGGCACTTACCTTTGGATACTTCACAGGCATCTAAAATTGAGTGTTTGCAACTCATACCTGAATCTCTCTGAGGCTGAGACAAGAGGATCACAAGCTTAAGCCCAGCTGGGCAATTTACCAAAATAAAAATTTAAAAGAGCTGGGGATACAGTGTAATGCAAAGGTCCTTGGTGCATTTCCAATACTGGAAAAAAAAGCTGGAGCATTTCCCAAATTATCAACTCCCGAAACCCCATATCAGCAAGTGATTCCATATCTAGGGCTACAAACATCATCCACCCTACACTGTCCCCAGGACAGATCATCAGGTATTGTGCACTATTGAGTCTGTTCCCTAAGAGCTCTTAATCTCCCCTAGGGCTCTTCAGACAAACCTCACTTCACTCTGTCCTACCAGCTCTTGCATGGATTAATTTTCACAGCAAGCCGTCTCAGCTTTCATTCCAGTTCCTGCAGGTTAGATACTATTGACATTTCAGAAATAAACTCCTACTTATGTAGGGCTCTTCTTGCAGGAGTCAGACTTTCTGTTGTCTCAGCTTGTGACACATCAGTAACCACTGTGGTACCCAAACTAGCAATTGTGACCTGCAGAAGCCAAGGGAGGGGCACTGTCACAGCCCAACCCACCTAAAACTTTAGGGCAGAAGCATGGCGCCATGCTTCTTGGAATGCCCTGACCGCCCCTATGGTATTGTTCCTGGCAAGTCTTAAGAAAAACCCCAGTTCTGTAGGTCAAGCTTCAAATTCTGAAGACAACCTCCTCTGCTCTTCCAGGGAAGCCACGGAACAGCAGGTAAAATCAAGCACAAGGCAGTTGTATTTCTGCATCCCTGGGGACTGAATACCATCCTTCACACCGAGCTACCTTCATTTCGAGTCTGGTTTTTGAGACAGTCTCGTTCAGCCACTAAATTGCCTGGATTAAGCTGAAACTTGCCATCCTCCTACCTCAGCCTTCTAGGGTGCTGGGATTGCAAGTGTGCATCACCACATCCAACTCACAGTATGGTTTTTAAATTAGACTTGTGTTGCTTTTGTATTCATTAATTATACCAGGTTTATTTGGAATTGTTAGAAAAGCAGAGGGTTGGGAGTTGGTGCGGGGGTTTATTCCTCAGTACCGTGTGAGAACACATTTTGTCATTTCGGATACATTCCTCCACTTCTGACCTCCACAGCAGGGCTGTAGAAAGGCCCGAAGAGGTCACATGTAAAACTTCCTGATTCTGCTCACACTTACCTTTGGGACTGGGGACAACCCAAGGCTTTCACACTGACCTACACCCCCATTTTTTTTTAAGCCAGGGTCTTTGCCCAGGCATAACTCAAATTTACGACGCATGGTCCTGCCTTACCCTCCAGAGTGCCAGGACTCTAGGCACATGCCAATCTTCACACTTTCAGTGTGGTGAAGATGTGAAGAAATATGAGAAGGCAGGGGAACATCACTCATCACTGTAGCACGCGCTGGTAACGATGCCTGTCAGGTTTAGCTACCACAGCGCAGAGGTTACCGGAATAAGATCGGTTTTTAAAGTTGTGAGAATCTTTCACCACTCGCTACGCTCTCCCCACGGTCAGCGGGCCAGAGCCAGCATTATCACCCGACAGGGCTAAGCTTTGGCAGATGTAAAGTTAGAACTCAGGTTTCTCAATTCCAGCGACAGGCAGGGGACCCTACATCTGTGTGTGAGCCCTGTGTGGGGCGTGTGCTCAGCAGACCCATCACAGAGGAACGTGGACTTGGAGTCTGCAACTGTGGGTTTTGGTTTTTGCTTGTTTGTTTGGCTGGGCTATCCAAAATCGACATGTGTCTATGGCGCCAGCTAAGAGCACTAACAGATTTTTGTGTGTTCACCCACATCCGAGACACATTCATTTCCATTCTCCGTGTTGCTGTGGACGTCACAAAGGAAGGCTCGGAACTTACGTGAATATCACAACAGAGAAGAGAGGAGCAAAACTGTGAAATTAGAGGAAACCCATGGCATTTAATTACACTGTATTTTATTTAATGAAAATTGGCCCCAAACAGCACGAGGAATCAAATATTATCTTGGAGTAGAGGTAACTGCTAGGCTTGAAGCTTACATTGAAAGCTAAAATCTCCAGCCCCTGACTATCCGCAGTTCCAAACATCAAAGGAAAATATTGGAACCAAGGATCTATGTACAGAGAGGCAACTCATGGGTACCAGTAAGCAAAATAACCTGAGGGAGAACATTTGTATTCCTCAAGTACAAGAAGTAACAAGAGTTTACAAGTCTCGCAGCATTGCTTTCTATTGTACAGGGTTCCACAGTAATGCCAAAAATTGCAAAATTGAGGCACTTTGCTCCGACGTCTGTAGTTTACATTTGATTATGCTCATAAATTAACAGCAGCTTTAGAATTACAAAATAGAATTGCGTTTTCAGGCTACTGTTGGTGTCGTTCTTAATGAAACACCACGACTGAACAGGTCTAGATGTTCAGCTTGTATGGAAGCGACCCAGGGCACGTCAGGTACAGAGAGCACAGCCATGAAGCAGCTGGAAAGGCCACCATGAGGACTAGCCCCTTGGAGATAGGTGGCAACAAGAGGGGACAATTGCACATTTAATCTGTTCAAAGCAGAGCGCTATTCCTGTCACAGGGAATAAGTTAGTTGGTATGAATGTCTTACATTTGTCGTCATCTCCAAATACTTACTGATCTTCAGAAACTGACTCAGCAGTTGGGTTTCTCATGTTCCAAAGCAGGGGGGAGCTTAAATCTGGTAAGTTTTTGAAAACAATTGAACCTAGGGGTCCTCTGCAGCCCTTTCTGAGATAGTCCTCCCTCAGCCTCTGGAATAGCTGGCATTACAAAGGGCGTGCGTCACCACACCTTCAGTATTTCAACATTTAATACTTACACAAGGTGGCTATTAGGTAATTTTAAAATAAATAACTTCTGGAAGAATGTTAAATTCAGTTTTCTGACTACAAGATCACTCACTGGTATCACGTGGCATTTTATTAGCTTGGCCAATTATTGATGTAGACAGGTTTGGTAACATAAGGGAAACTACTTTGAATTTTAATAACAAGTTTTTTCCCACTAAAAATAGGCTTTTTTGAATATCATGCTTGTAACAGTCATTAACTGGCAATTGTATTTTAAATTCTCAAGCTGGAGTACTGAGGTTAAATCAAACTTAAGCTTTACCAGGCCAGTTCTCTTTGTGAAATACGTGTAACTTTATGGTAGACTACCTGGTTTTTGAGTAACAATTGTGTGACATAATCCTTTAATTTTTAGCAGATTCATCACATGGACACTTAAAGGTTTTTTCCAAGATCATGTTATCTTCGCAAAGAATGTTTACTATTAAACCTTCTTAAAACTTTCTTTCTAGACACGTTATTTGAAACCAGAAATATAATCAGGGAAAACTGACTTTTTCAGGAATTACCACATGTAGAACTGTACTCAAAGTATCTGAAAAGCTGGCGATTCACTTTGAAAACGCATCTGTCCCATGGCTTCCTCTCAACTGAAAATCGGACTCAACCCAGAATAAAGTAACTGGGTTCTCAATTTGCAGAGTGTCTACATTAGGAAGTTTCATATTGGCCATCCCAGTCCATCGTTATCTACTCTAATACAATAGACATTAAGTCCTCACTTCCTAGTACCTAATAAAACCAGCAAACCTAAGTGAAAGCATGTTTTTTATTTAAATCAGTTGTTAAATCACAGTTTATCCAAATGACATAACCCAACATTGGTCTTAAAAGAAAGGGCACAAGTATGACACAGACTCAATCCAGTATCTATCAAAATACCATTGGTAAAGAAAGGGACTTGCTTCATTCTGTGAGCGAATGCGGTCCAGCATATAAGAGCAGAATCAAAAACTTACACTAGGCAGTTCTTTTCTATGTAACATGAAAAACACTTCACTATGCTGCCCCAGAGTTGAACGCACTAATCTGTCCAAACCACCATGTAACAGTTAGGAGGAAAGACTTAGCAAGACTCATCTGCTAGTGAAAAAGAAACTTCCTTCCAACTTCACTGGACTAAAAGAAAAAATTCACAGTAACAGTGGAACATTCTGAGTGTTTCAAAATGTTTTTTATTTTTAGCTCACTGTGCATAATAGGAAAGTGGTCAGTTTCTGAGTACTACACTAAGCATGGACCTAAGCTTTAGTGAATTTTTTAGAGTAAGAACTGTACCTTCTCACCAGGAATGCTATTGCTTGGAAGCTGTTTTTCACAGGTATTAACTGAGGCTTTAAACTTCCCGGGGCCTATCACAGCTGCACGCCCTGTCACATACTGTGTGGTAAAGAAAGGTAAGTACTATGCTGCATATGCCCGTAGTTAAACACTATGAAAAAATATACAATAGATAAAGAGGATTACTCAAAATACATATAAATACATGAAGAACGACACTCCAGTTTGAGAAAGTTTTGCCAACTCCAGTTCCAGGTCAAGAATTTAGGACCTCAATTCAGAAAGATCATATGGAATCAAGGGAAAGTAAAGTCTTGAAAAAAAAGGCAATGTTAGACGACTATAGCTCCTGATGAAGCCTCAGGATTGTTGGGGAGCACTGGACGTGAGATCAGTAGGTGGGCCCGCTCTCTGGTTCTCAAAGTTCTAAATATTGGTTTCGAGTTTCAGCAGCAGCATATTCTTTCATGACTTGTCTTCACATTCTGGTCTTGCAAATATACACGGCATGAACTGTAGAAGGAAGAAGCAGAGTAAATAAAATCTCCTTTTGTTCTATCGGTTATTAACAACAGAATAGTTGTATAGTTGAACTGCAGCTAACCAGAAATCCAATCAACACAATTTTTTTTTTTGTCTTTTTCCTTTTTATTGGTACCGGGGATTGAACTCATGACTGCCTGCTTGCAAGGCAGGCTCTTATGCTGCTGAGCTAAATCCCCAGCCCCTCAACAACACAATTTAAGGCCATCAAAAGGACACAGTGGCCATTGCCAGTACAGTGGTGCATGCCTCCCGAACTTGGGAGACTGAGGCAGGCAGGCTACAATGAACTCGAGGCCAGCCTGTACTACACAGAGAGACCCCGTCTCCAAATACAAACAAAATATCCCCAAAGAGTTAAAAAAAAATTAGAAAAAAAAAAAAAAAAAAAGAGGAAATGAGAGTCCATGTTATATTACACCCTGCTATCACAAAACTTGTAACTGTAATAATGCTTCTTGTCAGGCTCATATGCATCGGACAATTCAAAAAATACTTCTCAATATTCCTGGGAAACCTCTCTTCAAAGTATTATAAATCGAATTTTTGATATAAACCTCCTTCTGACTGCTTATATTTTTTTAGTCAATACTATGAAGAGCAAGCACACTGTATTACTGTATTTCTTATGCCTTGAGCCAAACACACACACCCCTTTTACATGAGACCTAAAATGAAGCCATTTTTTTCATGACACCAGTAAGACTAAAGTGGTATTTCAATAAAGGGAAAAAAGGAAACTACTCTAGATCACTTTTTCTAGTTGATAACTACTTTCCCAACTGAAGATTATCCAAATATCACTCGTTTAAATTGCTGACGTTCCTTTATACCAATTTTCCACCTAATGGCACAGAAGGGGGAAATGCTCGGAAGGAAAGGAAAGTACTCACACAAGGCCTCAGGGTTCTGCCAGCTCCCCCTCCGGTTTCTGCTGCTCCTCCTCCACTTGGGGTTTGATGCTCTTCTCCGACTCCCGGTACACCTTTGCTCCCTGAGCTCCTGCTTCCTCCTCTGTTAGTTTTGGTCCGTTGGTGTCTGGGGACTCCTTGGTGCCGCCACCCAGAGCCTCGGTGTCTGCCAGGGCTGCATTTGGATCCTCCAGTTCCTGAGTGACGTCCCCCTTCTGGTCATCTTTGGAGTCAAGCGGCAACTTGTCTATTCTTTCTCCTGACTTGGCACAGCTGTCATCGCCCTCTGCAGTGCCTGGGGGCAACACCTCTTCCAAATGTTGCTCATGTACACCAAAACTTCCAACCTCAACTGTCAGGGTCTTTTCTGAAGTTCCATTCACGTCTTTGGCAATGTCAGAAAGCTCGGGTGCATCAGTGGGGAGCTTGGACTCAGGGGGGGTGGTGACGGTCAGAGTCTGATCCTGCACAGTCATCTGCTGTGCTCTGACTTCTCCCACAGGTTTCTGTCTGACGCCCTGGCTGTCGGCTGGCACTTGGGAGGCCTCCATCACTGTGTCACATGGAAACGCTTCAGACACTGCTGCTTCCTCGGTCCGGGCAAACTGGTCCACGGCTGTCTGGATTATGTTTTGCACTAATTTACTGCTCTCAGTCTCGAGCTCTAAGATCTGACTTTCAGCCTTGGGACTGCCCTCTGCTGCTGGGCTCACTGCGGCTTCGAGAGAGCAAATCTGTCCTTCCTCTCTGTCCCCTTTCTGTTTCTGAAATGCGCTTTCCTCTCCCCCCAGGCCCGAAAGCAAGTCTTTCTCAGGAGTGGCCAGCGTTATTACTGGTTCTGATTCTGCCTGAGGCTCAGGCCCCACAGCTAGAGCATCCTTTCCAGAGGACCCCTCTGCTGGTTCTAAACGTGCACCTGCAGGCTCTGAAGCATCAGAGGTTTCTGAAATCTGGCCAGTTTCTCCTAACCCCTCCTCCTCCACTACAGCAGCTGTGACAGTCACTGAGACCTCAGGGCTCTGACCTTGGCATGTAGTCTTCTCCTCTTGACCTGGAGGTGGAGGAGAACAGCTCCCTTGTAAATCGCTTGGTTCCTTCTCCTGGTCTGTGATGAGCACGTCAGCCAACTGGACTAGTTTCTGGCCGAGCCCTTCGATTGATTTTGGCTCAGCTTCTTCTTCCTCTTCCCTGCCTTGTACTGCCTTTGCATCCGTTTTCTCCTTTTCTACCTGAGCTACCCTCTCTCCCTCTTCGGGGCCTGGACTCTGGAGTTCTGTGGTACCGATCTGCTGAAATTCTGCTCCTTCAATTAATTCACCTCGAAGGGGAACCTCAGGGGTCTTTTCCTGACTGGCTACCTGTGTAGGTCTGTCTTCGTGTTCCCCATCAGCAAGCTGGCGGGCCTCTTCAATCACCTCAGTCTTGGACAGTATGGGTGCAGCCTCCACTGACAGCTCTTGATCCACATGTTCTAGAACTCCTTCAGGCTTTAATTGTTCTTTACATTTTTCCTGGGATTGAAATGCAGGTGGTGCGGAAGGTCCTGCTTTCTGAGCAGGAGCTGCCTCTGCAACCTGTGACTGGGGACCAGACACAGCTGCACTGTCCTCTTGCCCGACCATGACCTCATCTTGCTGCATTTTCTCTAGCACCTCAACATCTGCCACAGGGGTGCTTCCGTTGGTCTCGCTGTCTGTCAGGGTATCTGCTGAGTCAGGGAGAAGAGGCTGCTCAGAGGCCTGCACCTCAGCTAAGGGCTCAGATTGGCCCATGGTTACCAGCCCTCTGGGTACACTCGCCATGACTTGAGGACCTTCCTCAGAGCTCTCAGGGGCAGCCTGGGCTGCTACCTGTCCTAGTGTAAAATGCTCAGTTTTAGTTTCTTGTACTGTTACTCTCATCGCTGCATCCATCTCTTCCTTCGGCCCTGGTGCTACAGAGTCTTCTGCCTCCTCCACTTTCTCTAGGGCTTTGGGTTCTGCTCTCTGCACAGTCAGCAGAGTCACACCTTCAGCCCCAATGCTGTCAGGCAGCCGTGACTTCTCTTTTACTTTTTCTGCAACTGCCTGTAAGACAGCCTGAGTCTGCCGCTCCTGCTCTTCGGCATCTGGCCCACCGCCTTCCACCTCCTGCACGGGAGTGGCTTCCTCCGTGGTGTTCGGGGAGTCAGTTAGCTGCGAGACTGCAGACACCATCTCTGTGGTTTCTGCAGCAGTCACAGCCTCAGGAGTTAATCCCACTTCACTAGTGATGGTGTCATCGGGGACCTCCCTGCCCTCGGACACAGTCTCGGTGGCCACAGCGGTTTCTTCAGCAGTGACTTCACTTTCAGCCATCTCCCCAGTTACTGGTGTGGCTTCATCTTGCGCTTGTTCAAGAGGCTCCGTCACGGAGGCAGATATCCATGAAGGAGACCGTTCTTCCACATTAGTAACTGCCCTTATCCCATCGGCAGCAGCCACTGCCGCACAAGGAGCCAGATTCTTGCTGAGCTCTTCGGACACGGACTCTGCTTCGCTTGGGGGCGCTCGCTGAGCTTCCATCTTCTCCCTTTCCACAGCGTCATACTCGGACAGAGGCACGACAGACGGGACATCGGAGTCCTCCTCGTTGCCTTCTGCGGGCCCTGTGTCTCCAGCAGCGGCCTGGTCTTGTTTCCCGTCTGACCTTTTCTTCCGCCGTCCAGGGATAAACTTCTTAATTGAAACCCAAGATTCTTCCTTCCCAGGTTCAACATCTAAAGCTGAATGCTCCACACAGGTGTCTTCGTTTTTCTCTTCCTGTTTTGACTTGGGTTTTTTCCTTGGGGTCACCAATCTTTTAAATGACTCCCAGGTGGACACACCCTCCCCTTCAGAGGGGCTGCCTGCAGGCTCAGGGGAGGAGCTTCCTTGCACTTGATCTGGCTCCTGGGTGCCAGCAGGGACAGAGTCGGTTCTGGCTTCTTTGTCTCTGGCAGTCTCCTCTGTTTTGTGGCCATCCCCTGCCATCATTTTTGGTCCTCCCTCCTCATCAGAGGAGGATGCTTTCCTTGCTCTTTTCTTGGATGACCCCACACAAATCAATGCCTCCCAAGACACCGAAGTGTCCACTTTGCGCTTCGGCTCCTCGGGCTTCGGCTCTTCCCCAGCGCCTTTGATTTCTTCTTGCATTTCAGAGGCCGCACTCTCCGTAGAAGACAAGGTGGCACTCTTGACCTTGTCCAACTTGTCCAGCTCGTCTTCCTTATCACTTTCAGAAGGCCTTCGCACACGCTTCTTGGGTGTCACCATCTTTTTGAAAGATGCCCAGGGAGTAACGCCTTCTCGCTTTTTCTCTCCATCAGAAGTAGCTCCTTCTTCAGCCTCGCCTTCTAGGTGCCCCTCTGGAACCCCTTTCTCCAGACACGTGATCTCCTCAGGTTCTTCTGGGGACGAGGCAGAGCTCTCGCCCTTCTGCTCATCCGCACTATCCGGAGACTCTGCCGCACCCTGATTGTTCTCCCCTGCCTCTTCATCTCCCCCTCCGCCTCCTCCTCGCTTCCCCTTCGGCTTCTTCCCAGACAGCTTCTTTAAGCCAGTGCTGGAGAACAGTTTTTTCAAGGGGCTTCCCTGCACCTTGACTCTGTCTTGTGATGACAGCAAGGCCACCTCACTCACGATGCTCTCAGGGTGTTTGGGTAACACCTTTTCTTCCGTACTCAGCTCTGTTGGCCGGGCGTGGTCCCCTCCAGAGGCAGGAACTTCTTTGGTCTTTTCCAGTGCCTCGGCGAGTTCTGCTTCCTGAGCTTCCTGAGCATTTGTTTCCAGCAGTTTTTCAGATGACAACACTTCTACTTCTCCCACATCTGCTTCTTGTTCCTCTGCTTTCTTCTCTGTACTGCTGACGTGGACTTCAGCAACAACTTCGTGGTGGGTTTCTATTTTTTCATCAAATACTTCTGTTGCCAATGGAGCACATTTCTCTGCAGGAGGGCCCTGCACACCATCGACTTGATCTTCCAAAGGCAGCTCCACCTTCTCGTAGTCAGCTGATAATCTGGCCTCGTCCGCACCTTCCCCGGGCTTCTGGAGCTGCTCAGAAGCTGGGGGCTGCTCAGAGGCATCTTCTGCCTTCTCATTTTCCTCCGTGTCTGCCTTTACTGGCTCTTGTTCCTTTTTCTTCTCAGAAGTTTCCAGTTCATCCTCCTTTGGCTTTCTAAAACTGGTCTTTTTTCGCCAACCAGCCCATCCTTGGGTGAAGAATTTCTTGAAGGTCGATGTAGTCTCACTGGCGATCGGGCTGGTGGGAGACTCTGGAGGCTTGGGAGCCTCCTTTTCTTGGGTTGTTTCTGCTTCATCTTTGCCTTCTGCTGCTGCTTGACCAGACTCGGCTGTGAGAGGAATTTCTGTGTCACTTTGCTGGTGCTTCAGGGTGTCTTCCGCCTTCTCGACAGACTGTTTCCCTTCACCCTCTCTGGCTGCTGCCTCTTCCGTCTCCTCCGCGTGGGGCTCTCCAACATCATTAGCCTCAGTAGGTCGTGTCATTTTTTCTGAGTGGCTTTCTGAAGAAGGAATCTGTTCGATCATCTCAGGCATTTCCTCCTGTTTATCCTTTGTGATGTCCTCAACAATCACAGAGTTAGCAGCTGTGTCGTTATCCAAGTCTTTCTTACTCACATCTTCAGGCTCCCTCTGTCCAACTGTTAACAAAAGCAGGAAGAAAGAAAAGTGAGAACAGTTCCCAAAGCGCAAGTATATTTTAAACCATGACCAATACTCTGGTTAACAACAGCTAATTCCAGGACAAGGTGGAGAGGCTCTTAAGGGTATTTATGCAACTTCAAAACTGGGTAACGTCTGCTTATTCCAAATCAACTATCTAATATTTATTTAGTCCTTCTGAGACAGGGCTATGCAATGCCAGCGGTCCTTGAACTCACTTTGTAGCCCAGGCTGGCTTCAAACTCCAAGTGATCTTCCAACCTCAAGCCCCCCAAGTGCTAGGATTGATTACAAGCATGTGCCACCATACCCAGACCCAAACAAACTTTTAAAATTCAGGTTCAAAGGTACTGCTCCACTTTTTTTTCCCTCTGTTCAAGGAAAGTTAACAAAACTCAAAAGTAAAAAATAAATTTACCCATAAGTAGTTATCACTAAGGGTGGATTAACCACAAAGCTATTTTCTGTTGTAATGATGGAATCACACACATGTGGTTTCGACTAGAATCTATCAAGTAACTTCCACTTTAAAAAGCATGAAAGGAATATAAATGTAAGACAGAACATATATGACAATTCCTAGTCTTATCTCAGTAGGACCACAGGGACCAGGTCCTTGCAGAAATCCCAGGCTTGGTTGTCGAGAATACAAAGAACATTTTGTGAGAGAGATATTCCAAATCTGGTGAGGGAAGGTGACAGAACAAAGGGCCTGCTTGAAAAGACTCCTTGCCAAACTTGAAGCATAAAAGTCATGACATTGATGAGTTACAACACATTGAATTAAAAAAGGAAAAACCCATGTTTCAGTCAGGTGTGGTAGTGCATGCTTGTAATCCCAGCACTCAGGAGGCTGAGGCAGGAAGACTGCTGTAAGTTCAAGACCACTTTGGACTACAAAGTAAGCACAAGGCCAGCCTAAACTGCATAGGGAGACCTGTCTCAAGAAGACCAAAAAAAAAAAAAAAAAAAAAAAAGGCTGGGGATTTAGCTCAGTGGTTCAAGCACTTGTCTGGTAAGTACAAGGTTGTGAATTCGATCCCCAGTACCAAAAAATAAATAAATAAATAAAAAGTTTTAAAAAGCCAGGGATTTAGTTCAGCAGCATAAGCGCCTGCCTGGCAAGTGCTAGGTCATGAGTTTGGTGCCAAGAAAATAAAAAGTAAAATACAATAAAATACAAAACAAAATTAGTATGAAATACACTGTGTGACTAATCTGAAACTTTACAAACTAAGAAAATTAGTTTTCCTTATTATTGAAGCAAATACTAAAAACAAAAAATTCAGACATTAGACTGCCAAGTATCTTTAACCTTTTTTCTACATTTTACATACAGTAATATATCTAGCTCTTCCTATTTCTTAACGTATGTACAATCTTCTGAAATAAGATATGCTTTAAGTGTTCCATTTATTCCTATTATAAATTAACACTATGGTGAGCTTGTTAACCTAAGTGCATCTTCATGAACTGTTTCTGTAAGATTTCCTGTTATAAAAGTATAGTCACAAGAGATAATTTTGCAAACATTTAAATGCAACACAAGATGTGACCTTTTATAAAAAGGTAATGATGTCATGGAAACTATCAGAGGAAAACGCAAATTCCAATAATATTCTGCCATAAGCCTGAGATTACAAGAACTCATTAATCTCTGTGGAATTAAGAAATGCAGGTAAAGGGGCTGGCCTTGCAAGCAGGCAGTTGTGAGTTCGATCCCTGGTACTGATGAAAAAGACAAAAAAAAAAAAAAAGAAATAAAGAAAGAAATGCAGGTAAGACTGGGGATTTAGTTCAGTGGCATAAGCACCTGCCTGGCAAGTGCAAGTTTGATCCTCCGCACCAAAAAAAAAAAAAAAAAAAAAAAAAAAAAGCAGGTATTTGGGGGGGGGGTATGGTAGGTGTTATTCATACCTCACTATGTTCCTTCATGTCCTCAAACTGTTTCAATGTGAAATATTTTCCCTTTTTTAATTCTCAAAGGACTGTACTACATAGAGTTAAAACCAGATAAACAGCCAGGTGTGGTGATGCACAGCACGCCTATAATCCCAGCCCTCAGGAGGCAGAGGCAGAATGATCACTGAAAACTTGAGACCAGCCTGGGCAGGCTACATAGCAGGCCCTGTCTCAACAACATAACCAGACAAACTAGGGAAGAAAGATGATAAATAGCTGCCCGTTGGCAGTTTACTGCTAGTTTGGCAATAGACATTTGCTTGTAACATTTTTCGCTTGTTTTAAGGGTACTTAGGAAATTTGTAAATCATAACTGGACAACTCCTCTGTGCTCTCTTTTGACTTAAGTAATGCTGATTGCTCCAATGGCAGAACACTGGGCACCGGAGGTGCCTTTGCACAGGCGCACTAGTGAGACATCGGCCAAACTACAGACCGGCCGTACAGGGAGGCCCTGCTCTCCAAAATCCAGCCTCTAATATGTCATTACACCGTCAAACATCTAAGGACCTGGAAGACAACCCTAAACTGCCTAACGTGGAGCTGTTTAATTTGTACCTGAGCACCGCTGGTCCTCCCACACCTCCGCATGCTGCCCCTACACCTGGCTGCAACCCGCCTGGAAACCCATTCTCTCAGTGCCTTGTCCTCTCTGCAGCCTCCACTGACACTCCTGTCGGGCCTGTGCTCCACCTAGATCTTTTGCCACCTACTATATGCCCAGCTCTCCATGCCTTCCCCCCACCCTGGATGGCACCTAGGATCTTCACACTGAGCTACATCTCCAGCCCTTTCTATGTCTAAAGATAGGGTCTTGGGTTGGGGATATAGCTCAGCGGCATAAGCGCCTGCTATGCAAGCGCGAAATCCTAAATTCGATCCCTGGTACCAGACAGGGTCTCACACTAAGTTGCCCCAGCTGAGCTCCAACTTTGTGATCCTCCTGGCTCAGCCTCTCAGGCACATTGGGATTACAAGGCATGCGCCACCTCACCAGGCCCCACAGTCTGCCCTCTCTCCCAACCTGTACCTCCCTTGTAACAGTAAGTGCTGTCAGCTCCCTCTGGGTCACTGTGGCCTGCAGCTATGCCGCAGGAAGGTTTGGCACCGGTGCCAGCTTCATATGCAGGGGCCGGGATGCAGTGGGCGCCATACCTCGGGTGCCGATGCCATCCTGGGCCCTGTTCCTTCCTCCCTCCTCGCTGCAACCCCGTTTTCCAAGGCGAGGTGGTGATGAGGCTGGAGACCGCGGGAGGGCGCTACTCACCGCAGAGGCTCCTCCACCAGATCATAACGCGCGGTGCCCGCGGTCTCTCCCTGCAGCCCCATGGCGGGACAGGCGCGGTGGGGTCGCCACGCGTCACAGAAGCTGGACACCTCCAACCCCTACTCCACCAACGAACGCTGCTCGCGCTGCAACGCCCGGGTGGTGCGAGATGCTCCAATGGTGTGGGGCGCTCAGGCACCACCATGGGTATTTCAGACACACTCCTGCCAAAACTAGCCCTGGTGTCAAAGCCAGGCTAGCTACACTGGACTCAGAAGCCACAACCTGCACGCTCAGCTTCTCACACCAGGGCGGCTCTGAATCCCACTGAGCACGGGAAGAGTCAAAGGGTGGCAGAAATCTGCGGGTGGCTTTGGCTTGGCTCTAAGAGCTTGAAGTTCTTAAGTGTAAGGAATGTGTGGACACTGGACTTGCTCCTCGAGCTTCACGTGCAGTCACAGAGCCACCCCTCCCACTGGTCCACTTCACATGTGGTCATTCTGGAGAATGCAAAGCCAGTGTCACTCAGGAAGCACTGTGACCGTCTCTTACACTAAACATATTTTATCATCCGGTGATCAGGCATCTAACAAGCTGAGATGTTATGTGCCCATAAAACACAGTATGTGGCTATTGATCAGTTTTTTCATTACTGCCAAAACTCTGGAAGTAACCAAGGAGTCCTTCAGCAAGCAAGTGGGTAAACAGTGCAGGCAGTCAGCACTAGAAAGAAATGGCCATAAAGACATAGCAGAACCTAACACACATATTGCTAAGTGAAAAGATGCCAGTCGAGGAGATGTGATCCCAGTTCTGTGACATCCTAGACAAAGCAAAACTATGGAGACAGTAAAAAGAGCAGGGCTTGGGGAGAAGAGAATGAACTGACAGAAGACATTTTAAGGTAGTGAAAACTCACCACCACCACACACATGTCCAAACTCACTGAAGTACAACAGGTCACTGACGGTGACCAATGGCTGGGTGACAATGATGCAGTGATGAGATCACTACATGCAGCAAATGAACCATAGCAAGAAAGGTGTGGAAATAGTCAAGAGAAGCACACGAGACAGGGGTTTTTGCAAGGAAAGTCAATTCTATACATTCAAAGCATAAACATTCTTTTAACTTTTTATAGTTTTGGTAAGTGCCACTTAAGGCAAAAACAAATACTTCAATGTTAATGTCCACACTGTGGTGGGGAAATTGCTCTGTTTCAAGTGCAAAACAATTCGAATTCTACTTTAGTGTGAAAAGTGGAGTTTCCTTATGGTTCTAGTCTTTCTTAGGGAGGAATTCATGAAACCTGCCCTTGCACTCACAGTGATGCAAAGACCACCTGCCCCTCAACTCACACTCATCTAGAGAAAGGCTGCATGAAACAAAAACCCACGTGCTAAGTGGGGGGTGAAGAGTGCACAGGCATCTGTATCTAGTAACAGTAAGAAAGGGAGGAACTTTCGTGCAGAGATCCAAATGTCAACTTTTCAGGGACAGCTGCACATTATATTTAAAAGCCTGAAAAGGATACATCAGGTCTGCTGTATTGTAAGAGTGATTTGAGGACATCCAGGTGACAGGGCAAGACCCCGTTTCTCCAAAAACAAAGAAACAACAACCCAAACAAACCAGAACAAATGGCCTATACTGAATCGGGACACAACACAAAATCAGAAACAGATGCAAGTGGGAAAATACATGCTTCAGCCGTATCAATGAGCGCTAAGGACACGTGGCCATGAGTAC